GGGTTTCGGGTTTAGGGTTATAATCATAATAGTAATATCGCAATGTAGCAGTACTAATAATAAAAATACTAAGAATACTGAATCAAACGAGGGCCGGCTCCATCTGCTCTGATCAGAGCTTGCTTTAAAGTATGGGCTACTAATTTGAGCCCTTAGGCACTTTAGGGCTGGATAAAGGCCCATACTAGGGGCTTTTGGTTTCAACCTTAGACTTTCTGCCTCTGGGAAGAGATTGGCGAGCTTCTTCTTCGCGGGAGGAAACAGCTCAATGGGAGCTTCGCGCTCCTCGTGTACTCCAACACTTCCCTAGACTTGAGTGCAGAAGAGTTCTAGGATACCCCCACCTTGGCCTCCAGCATCGCGTCCCTGACAAGCTATGCATCTTTTCTGGGATCACACCCACATGAGCTACAGTCAATACGGATCCTTATTGGGAGACTATATTGAGGACTATACTAGAGTCCACTGTTCAGTCCTAGGGAGTTTAGAGCCTAAACCCTATATAAGCCCCTACACAATCCACCTTCAAAGGAGTTTAGACTCTGGGTCACATGCACATTGCCAGCATACACTGCCTTTGGCTAGCTAGGAATGAAGGAATGGATCCCTATAGTAGTCCCTATATAACCCATTATAGTAGTTTCCATTTTCTTTTCCATTCCTTCTAAACCCTAAACCCTAAAACCCTATATGACCCCAATATACTAGTTTCCATCCTCTTCTCCATCCTCTCGATATAACCCCAATGTCAATGTATACCCTATAATCCTAATAATCCCTGTAGTTGCCTTGTTCTTCTCCATTCCTTCCAAACCCTAAAACCTAAAACCCTATATAACCCCGATCTAGTAGTTTCCATGTTCTTTTCGATTCCTTCATTCCCAGCTAACCATAGGCCAGTATCAGTATACTAGGTTGCCCAGTAACCCCTTAACAATAAGGGTACCCTTTTCCTACTATTCAATTTTAATAAGGAGACCCCAAATAAACAGGGAAAAAAGGGCACTACTGGGGTACCTAGTATAAGAGTAATAATATGGAATGGTACTTATATTAGGGTTGGTATATATTCCTAGTATACCACTAGTAGTGGGTGGGGGCCCTAAACCCTAAACCCTAAATCCTAAACCCTAAACCCTAAATCCTAAACCCTAAATCCTAAACCCTAAACCCTATAGCAGCCTGAGCCGTTCTGGATCGAAGTCTGTTGTAGCTTGCTGAAGCTCCAGGATGCACAGCCTCGCAGACGTGATAGGAATGGGATGAGGGAAAAAGGGATTAGGGTTCAGGGGTTAAGGATTAAGGTTTAAGGGTTTAAGGGGTTTAGGGTTTAAGGGGTTTAGGGTTTAAGGGTTTAGGGTTCAGGGTTTAACGGTCTAGGGTTTCATGGTTTAAGGATTTAGGGTCGAAGGTCACTTCTGCACAGCCTGAATGTGCCCTTATCGATCTCTTCCTTCTCCACGCCCTGCTCTTTGGCCTAGGTGCACGAGGCGGTCTTAGCGTTCTGGGGATAGGGGAACTGTCCACTCAAAAGCAGATCACATGGGTGGTTGTCAAAATTATGCTCCCTTTTTTGGGTACCCTAAATACTAAGTTCCGTATTCTAATACGGATCCAAAAAGGGACCATAATTTTGACAACTATCCACATACATTGCCCAGGCGGGGACGGTATCAATGCACTCCTGGAGCCTGCTGATGTCGGTGCCTTCTGCTGCCTGACCTTAGGAGATGGTTGGCCACACCCATATGGGTGGTTGTCCAAATTATGGTCCCTTTTTGGGATACCCTGTATATTAGGTGCCGTATTATAATAGGGATCCAAAAAGGGACCATAATTTTGACAACCACCCACAAGGTTTCGGTTGTAGGGGTTTAGAGTTCAAGAGTTGAGGGTCTAGGGTTTGGGGTTTGAGGGTGTAAGGTTTCAGGGCTTAGCAACCGCTGCCCTCATCAGGCTCCAGCATAATTCTAACAGTGCCAGTCTGCATCTGATTGCCACCAGATCCTGTCAATTCAAGCAGAGTAGGCGTTTCTCGAAATTAAGTCCCTCCCGTTTTGTGGTACCTGTAATAGCTATTCTATTATTGCGATATCTATGTTGGGGCCCTCTATTTATGGAAACTACCAAATGAGCCCTGGACTAAATTTGTAGTATATCCCTTAAATAGGTTCCCCCCAAAACCCTATATATTCCCCTATAGGTCCCCCCCAACCTAAATTTAGTCCATAGCTCAAATGACCTGCAGTCTGGTACCCAGAGACTGGAATGGCCCAGCAAGGAGCCTCGTGATCTGGCAATCCCATCTCTGCGGCCACAGCGAGGACTTTCCGGAAATCCTGAAACCATAGGAGTGTATAGGGGTTATATAAGGTTATATATAAGATATAGGGGTTATATAGGGGTATATTGGGATAGTGGAAAAGATCATGAGAACTAATATTACTATTCATCTCAAACTGCTTTGTTTGGGGTTTATAGGGGGTTTCGGAGTTGGGGTTGATATGAGCTATAGTCTAAACTCCTAGTATCCCCCTTAATCACCCCTATAACGCTCCCCTATATAATCCCCCATATAACCCCCCTTTAAGGAGTTTAGACTATGGCTCATATGGGTTTATGGGCAGGGTGAACTTCAACCTTGAAAGTCCTCGGCATCCGTGCTCTCAGCAATAGCAGCAGCCTGGGCGACTAGTTCAATGTCTGCTCTACACTACTACGCATCAGGTATGGCATTCGGGTCATGCAGTTGATGATAGTCAATCACTATCTGAGACGATCAGCGTTCATCAACTGACAGTTGATCCATAAGGCTTGGAGGTGTGTGCGGGAGGTCGGGCAGAGCCTGTGGCCAGCGGTGGCAGCAACGTTCGCAGTCGCCGTGATCGAAGTGCCAGTCGGAGAAGCTTGTGCGCCGCGGTAGCGGCAGCAGCGATGGTGGTGGAGGCGGTGGTAGCAGCAGCAGTTGCATCAGCAGCAGCAGCAGCAGCCGCCACCTCACAAGGAGGAGCAGAAGTGGTACTGTAAGAGCAGGAGGCAACTTCCTTGTCGCCATCACAACGAGTTTTTCGACAGCAGCCGCAGTGGTAGTACCGTGGGGGACCGGACGAATCAAATCTGAACTGTTACAATTGATCTTCAGTCTATTTCAGTCTCCTTATCTCGGCCTGCGCATCAGGGTTCCCTAACTTAGGATTGAAGTCTCCCTGCATCATTCGTATCTCCCTTATTAACAAGGGAAAGCTCGTTGAAAGCAGCATCCGTACTGCAAGCTGCATTTAGCAAGGGGCCTGTTCCCACAGCTTTACAGGGTCGTGATGACACCCAAAGAAATATCAGCGCAAGTCACTGTGCAACGAACCACGCACAGGCTCAAAGTAATCCTCAACCAATGTCTTACATGAAGCTACAGAAGACGAAAGCTATCGGCGGCCTGCATCTTCAAGTAGGCAGCCCTGCCGGTGTACGTCTGGTTCTCCTCTCAGTGAGCTCAGTTGAAAAGCTGACACTGCAGCACAGCGGAGGATCAAGGAAATCATGCACAACCTGGGATTCCCGACATGCTATGGTTCGAAGCGTGTAAGGTGCGTAGGGTGGTGCATGATTTCGTCCATCCACAGAAGATTACACCTCAGCCATAGTCGAAACTCCTAGTATTCCCCTTTAATATCCCTATAATACTCCCCTAAAAAATCCCTTGTCTAACCGCCTTCAAGGAGTTTAGACTATGGCTCATGTTGTGCAGTCCGTCAGCCCTACGGCTTTGCCCTCGTCCAGGGCACGTAGGAGCATCTGCGGCCAGGGAGCTCTCAGACAAAGAAGGGTTTAGGGTTTAGGGTATAGGGTTTAGAGTTAGGGTTCACCATTTCAGGTTCCATTTTTTTTCTCTCTCCACTATTGGCAGAATGTATTCCCCTAAACCCTATATAATCCTATAGAACCCTAAAGAATCCTATAGAATCCCATACAATCCTCTAGAACCCTATACAATCCTACACAATCCTGTACAATCCTATGTAATACCTGTATAATGAAGCAGGTTGCCACCTCGGCATCCTTCAACTTGATGCCCTCTTTGATTTCGCCCAACGCCAGCTTACGTGCAGCTTCGAGAAGCTTTGGCTCCTGCTGGGCATCATCATATAGAGATTACATAAGGATAAATGTAGGATTGTAAGGGATTACATAGGGAGCAAGATGACAGAGGGTTCGGAGGGGTGCATGTGTGTGCTCTGGCAATTGCAAGCTAACAAGAGCCTCAACATTTGCAGCACGAGCTCTTTCAAGACGTTCGCGAATCTCCTCACACACGGACACTTGAAGGCAGCGTGCAGTATGTAATACAGGTACTATAGGGGTAACTGAAAAGGAACAGAGAATGTAATTATTGGTGCGTATATATATCTATATATAATCCTATATAACCTTGTATGCCCCCTATAATCCCCTATTTAATGAAGCGGAAGTGAGCCCTTTGCCTTCAAGTCTTTGCGCTTCAGCGCGGCCGCAAGCTCCAGCCTGGGCGAGCAATCCGCCATGAGCAGATAAGATATGAGCTATAATCTAAACTCATTTTAGGGGGGTTGTATAGGGGATTGTATTGGGGAGTATTGCAGCTCTTATGAAAGGGATACCAGGAGTTTGGACTATAGCTCAGTTATAACAACATCTCCGTACACCCCATATTCTACCTACTAAAAGAAGACTGCAATTGAAGCTGTAATTGGATGTTGTTGGCGATCATGGTTTGGTAGCCAATCAGCATGCTTCCGATGTGGCCGCACGGGGCACCTGTCCAATGCCTCGGGGTCTACAAGAACTGTAATCCCCTACACCTATGATTTAAAATCATTCACCCTTACTTAACAAATACTTAGGAATATACTAGAATGGGACCAAAAAAAGAAGGATGGCAAGGATTCAGATCATTTTGCTGTTCTCATTGGTCAAGGGTTGATGCTCCCCGCAGGGCAAAAGCCTGCTTGGCAGCGCCATGGAAGTTAGTCATGGTGCCACAGGGCATGGCAAGCTTTCAGGTCATCATTGAGCCGCTCTCCTTACTAGGTCTCAGTAGGGAATATTGGAGTCTTTCTTCGAATCTGTTCGACTGCCGTGCGTGCTCGAGGCATTTATGACGGCAAGATGATTCGGGTTCGAATCCAGAGCCGGGGTCCGGGTGCGGTCAGAGCTATGACAATGCCGAGTTGAATTTCATATGACAGCGCACCTGCATGCTTTGCTGACGCCTTGGAACAGAATGCACGCGAGATTGCTTTCTGAAGGATCGACAACGACATGCAGCTTTTGTAAGTGCAAGCCATAACGGTGCAATGCACTTGTGTATGTTCTGCTCTCATAGCAGTTCAGTACGTTCAAGTGGGCCAAGTCATGTTGCCTATCAAAACCAACATGATTCTAAAGACATCTGTGATGCGTGATCAGTGATCTGGCTACCTTCCGTCACATTCTTTTTCTTTAGTGGAGCTGCGATGGAATCCACAGAATAATATGAAGCCAGGATCGCGATTTCTGAACAGCGCTTCGCTCATGTCATAGGAAATTTCTCAAGAGAGCACTCTTCGAAAGTGGCTGAGGAAGCGGCTCCCGAATCAACCGCCAGCCAGCAGTAACTTCAGCTTCCTGCCAGCGGCATGGCATCTGATTGCTTTATGGGTGTCATGCTCTTGCTCCAACTCTGGGGGGTTCTCAACAACCCTAAACCCTAAACAACACATCCGTGCTTTGGGGACCCCAGGTACATTGTCCTGAAGGGATTCCCTGAATTTTAGCAAGTTCCCATGTGTGATGCCTGGTGGGGCTCGACAACCGCAGCTTCTGCTTCGGGCACGAGGGACAACAGCGCATCCAAGTCGCGCGCCTTGCATCAACTTCCCTGACATGGCCTACTTGAGGGTCAGGGCGGCCCAGTAAGTATACTTGTAGCCCTTTAAGCCATATAGTTTTCCGGACCCTCTCAGTAGGCAACTGTCACATGAGCTATAGTCTACACTCCTAGTCTCCCTCTTAATAAGACCTATTATACTCCCCGATATAATCACCTATATAAGCCCCTGTAAGGAGATTAGACTATAGCTCACATGGCACCTCCACTGCATCTGCCATCTCCAGGAAGACCAATATCTTTCTGGCCTGCAGCAGAAGGGGTTTCCTAAAATTACGTAAAATTAGGGTACCTTTAAAGGGGATAACGGGGGGTATATAGGATATATAGGCTTTAGAGTTTCCGAAGTTTAGGTACCTTTTTGGGGAGTCCCCATACTAAGGACAAATGTTTTTTGGCTTATAACCCTAAACCCTAACCCTAAACCCCTGATTTAAGGAAACTGCCAAGGATGGACTGACACGTGATGAGCCTTCTGTCCTTTCTCCCAGGTAGGCTAAAAAAAAAAAGCCCCTTTTACCATCCGCTTATGGTCAGGTAAATTTCCTCAGGAACGGGCAAACCAGGTAGGTTTAGGGTTTAGGGTTGTATAATAGTAGCAATACAACAATGATAAGAATGGTAAGGCTAAGTGTAGAAATAGTAGTACTAGTATAGTCCAACTTAAGTAGATAGAATATGGCTTTGGGTATATTATAATAGGATCCCCATATACCCCATATTCTATCTACCTAAGGGGGACTATAATATTTATTATAGTAACACTAGCAATGACAGCCTGACATGACAAAATTCTGTCCGCGTGCAAGGAGTTCAGGCTTGGCACCTCTAGCCTCACTTCCTCTACACTAGGAATAAAAGGACCACCCAAAACCCCAAACCCTAAACCCTAAACCCCAAACCACAAACCCTAAACCCCTAAACCCTAGACCCCAAACCCTAAACCCTAAAACCTGGGTTCCCTGTTTTGGGGTTCCCATTTAAAGTCCCTTTAAGGAACTCAGGCTTGAGCCTCTCGTCTCTCTTCCTCATTTCCGTTCTGACTCAGAGCAATCAGAGCCTGCCAAACGCGGATGTGGATTTAGGGCTAAGGGTTTGGGATTTAGGGTTTAGGGTTTTGGACAACAAGCACATGGTCCGCTCTCACTCCTCCTCACAAATGCAACCCCTGGATTCAGTACCGTAGCTATCTGTCACAGGATCCGTAATTCAGGGATTGAGGGCACCAACAACCCTCTAGAAATCCCTATCATATGCCAAGTTTCCATTCAATGGTTCATGTCTTTCCGTTGATTCGCCATTAGCTTGGCTTTTTGGGGTAACCCGGTAACCCAAAAACCCAAGCCCCAAACCCCTCAACCCCTTTACTAGAGGCCCTGCCTTGCGTTCATTCTGCCTTCGTACCTCCTCCTCTTGTTCCGAGAGCCTAGAGGCCGCTGTCCAGGATATTCAGGGTTTAGGGATTAGGGTTTAGGGATTACGGTTTAGGGATTAGGGTTTAGGGTTTAGGGTTTACGGTTTAGAGTTTAGGGAGTAGCGCTTAGGGAAAATAACGACAATGATAATAGGAATAATATGGAAACGACAAATACGGTATGGTATTGGTAAAAACTAGCAACACAAGTCACAGCAGGAATAACAACTGTAATCATCCTACTACTACTACTACTACTACTGCTGCTACTGCTACTGCTACTGCTACTGCTACTGCTACTGCTACCTACTACTACTACTACTACTACTAGTACTAGTACTACTACTAGTACTAGTACTACTACTAGTACTACCACCACTAGAACTAGATAAAGGCAATAATGTACTGGAGCACATGCGAGCAGCATCTGAATCTGCCTATGTGGGTTGTTGTCAAAATCATGGGCCCATTTAGGTTGTAGACTGTATGAGGACACCTTATACTTAGGGGTACCAAATCTAAGGTTGAAAACATGGGCCCCTAGCATGGGCCCTTAACCCTGGGATCCTTATATACCTGCTATATACCCTATATGTACCCTTAAGGGCCCCTAGAATCCCCCTCAAAAGCCTATGGGCCCATATTAGGGACCCTAACTTTGGGAACTATCCATGTGCCTCGCCTTTGCCGCCCACGACCTCAGCCGCTTTGCCATTGAACATCTCCAAAACAGCAAAACACTCTCACTTCAGGTCTCATACATGCTTATAGTCCCCCTTAAGTAGATAGAATACAGGGTTTAGGGTTTAGAGTTTATAGCTTTGGGAATATTAGAATTAGATCCCCATATACCCCATAGTCTATCTACCTAAGGGGGGACTATACGAAACAAAGGTCATGGCTCAGCGCCTCTGAGATCATCTGAGGCATTTGCTGAAAAGCTCTGGATCCTCAACATTAGCCTCACGCTGCAAGCCCTCAACTTGGGGTTTTTAGGGTTGTTTTTTTGGGGTGTGGTTTTTAGGGTTTAGGGTTTAGAATTTATGAAGGGCTTAGGGCTTGGGGTTTAGGCTTACCCACAGCTGGTCGGCTGAGAACATGCTTGGACCTTGGCGCCTCCTCCGCCGCCTGCAGAGTTCTCTTCAGCTCCAGAATGTGGTCTTCCACCGTGTACCTTGCCTTCACCAAGACTGGGTTGCTGTTAAGGAACTTAAATTAAGTTACCATAATGGGTATATATAACAAGTAATAGGGTTTCCCCAATATAGTAACTTAATTTAAGTTCCTTAACAGCAACCCAGAAGAAAGATCTAAACTTCACACAGACGGCTCCTACGCTTCTACATGAGCTATAGTCTCAATTCCACATATCCCCCTTAATGAGCCCTACAGTAGTCCCCCACATAATCCCCAATATAACCCCCCTTGAAGGAGTTTAGACTATAGCTCACATTCGTCTGAAACTGAGCGGGTGAATGCGCCTCGGTGTTCAAGGCCAGGGCGAGTTCAAGTTGCGCAAACCTCAGCCGTCGGCTTTAGACTTTAGACTCGCCTTCGGCAAAAATTTTTTGATGGTTCTTAGTAGGGAATATGGGAATACATTATATAGGGATGATCTTTTTTTGGGATTCTATAAGGATTATACTCCCTTATTGTCACTTATTCTCTACTGAGAACCAGCAAGTTTTTTGCGAGGGCACCGTGTCCGCATCGGCAGCATCGTGCTTTCCTGGCAGGTGGCCCAGCTCTGATGGCAGGTTCTGATGCTGCGCCTGCCTCAACTTAAACCCTAAACCCCTGGGTTGGCCTCTAAAACCCTTTGAAAAATATTAATATACAGGGTCCCTTATTAGAGCCATTAGGGAAAATAGTATCCCAGTGGCCTACCCAGACCCTAAACCCTAAACCCTAAACCGCCTCAACTTGCACCCTGACGCCGTCTTGTATAGCCTCACCCAGCTTCTCCTCAGCTTCAGGCACATCCCCATGGACTTGGGACATTCTTGGGGTCATATTTGGGTCATATTAGGGTTATAGTGGGGTTATATTGGGGTAATATTAGGGCTATATTGGTTTTATATTAGGGTCATATCCCATGGACTTGGAACATTCTTGGCATTGCCCGGGCGACTGCTGGCTACAAGGGATGCAGGTGAAGCCTTCACAACTTCATCTTGGAAGAAAAGTCTGCCGTAACAAGCTCTGCATGTATCAGGCTCCTTGTTTACCTCAGTCAGAACTACGAAGCGGATCCCGTCCGAAGGGAGGCTTGCTTGCCACATGGTTGAGGTGATGCTGGAAACATCCACAAACCGCTGTTGCATATCCGCAGCTGCAATGACTGATGGCTGGATGACTGAAGGCAAGCAGGCGTCGGCGTTGCCGTTTGCAGCGTACATCTTCATGTCCTGCGTAAAATTGCTGGAAATTGCTGATCTGCTACAGCAAGTACTACACAGCTATCTTCATGCTGTCTGCCAGGCATTGGGCCAAGCATGTGCGCAAGGGCGAAAGACCATGCTCCTCGCGCGCTTCATCTTGAGCTTTGACCCAATCACACTCCTGCACCCAAGGTTACGTGCACTCACAAACATCATTGCGCTAAGCCGCTTCGGCGTTTCCGCAAGGGGTGACAGACATCACTTGAGATGGAAAACAGACTGCACGTTGTGAAAGTGGGAAAACACAGGGGCGTTACAAGCGCATCCATGTTCAGAGGTTCCAAGCTTGACATGTGATTATCTACTGGAGCTGGCTAAATGCACAACCATCACACAACGGGGTTCCTTGCAAAAGCAGCTGGAATCAGCAGCTTGCACACAGCTTTTAGATGCATCTTGAGACTTCCAACAGCCATCGCCCACTGCATCGAATACGCAATTCGCTAGATAGGGGTTTGCCTTGTTTACTGTTGTTCCCAAATTGGGGGGAAACTTGTATTGTAATAGTTTCGAGGTGTCTCCCATATGGAGTGATTGTTTCGACGAAACTTGTTCAGAATCGTTGCAATTGTGCTGCAAGTTTGGTCCCTGTAACATCTCTGTCAGTTCCATACCCATTCAACAAAGCTTCCGCAACAGAGATCTCTGGTCACCGCAGGTTACACTCGGAATGTGCCCTGCCGTGCTAGCACTCTTTACTCCCCTCACCCAAAGTAAAATCTTTATTTCCTCGAAGTCAGGCAGGAGATGTGCGCATCGTAAATTGTTCCCACCTTGGGGAAATTATACCTGCGATATGTGCCGGCACTTCTGACGCGGCTGTGGGTTTGGATAACCGCTTGTAGCCAATTGCCCAGGGAATTCCAACTATGTTCTACCCAGCCCAAACTTTCAATACTGTTATTATTATCCTGATGACTATCATAACTGTTATAACTAATATTCCTATTACAGCTACTATTACTATAATTGCTACGATTACTACTAGTCCTTTTATTACTATAATTACTACTATTACTATTATTACCTTTGTTACTATTATTACTCTCATTACTAGTATTACTCTTACTACTATCACTACCTGGGACTTGCCATGCCAGCCTGGGATTGAGCTCTCTGACATCATCAATCACTGACGCATGCCCCTGCATGCCCTGCTGCCTCCTTCTGCTCAGCCGGCATAAGTTCGTAGACTGCACGGTACCTGGAATCGGTGCCACCCCTGGGTTTGGGGTTAGAGATGCTATAGCCCTATCTACTATGGTAGTTGGTCCACGGCGCGTATTCTGCCGTGGGTTTTAAAGCACTTTCGCTCTTCTGCCTACGGTGACCAGAGCATCCATGCCAAAATCATAATAACGTTCGTGTTCCTAAAGCATACGATTACCAGAGCATCCATGCCAAAATCATAATAACGTTCGTGTTCCTAAAGCATACGATTACCA